CATGTGGATGCAAATGCCGAAAATGCATAGATACTCACGGATCGTGACCTATCCCTCCTTCCTCACAATGGTCTTATTCACCTCTTCCTTGCTTCAAGCACTTGGGCCTCCTATTACGACAGCATAACCTTGCGCTTTCCAAACTCCATCACTTATTCCATAACTCATCGCTGAAGGAAATAGAATGACCAACAGAATTTTAGCTCTTTAAAGTAGCACTTATGTAATTTAACACACCTTTTTCTCACACCTTAAGGCGAAGATCAGAAAGGGGCAGGAACCGTGATGGACGCCTCCTGGTCCCATCTGCTTGGCCTTTATTAACTTAAAAGTTTAATAGCTTGCCTTGACCTTTAACATCTGGATCTATCAGGCAAAATATACCTTAATAGCGTTGCTTGAATACCCAATCATCACGTTTATAGGGAAAGCTGGCATCAAGGTAATTCGTTTATAGTTACCCTCTAAGCAAACGATCCCCTGCCCAATGTCATTTTCCACTTCATCCCCTTTTCAATGTCAAGAAATGCGGCTACTTAATAAAGTGACCCAATTTGTGATGGTCCACATCATAGTTGGGAAATTATGCAAAGTGTTAAATTCCTTCTTTCTAGATTGAAAACGATACCGTAAATATTCTCTTAAGTGCAACAAAACGGGTCATGCCTAAACATTATCATGCGACTTCCACATTTTTACTGCATTCATGCACTAATAAGTGAATAGCCTAGTGATTTAAAGGCCACAAATGTTAATGTGCAAATAGATATGTTGCATTGCCATAGGATTAATTCTACCTTTTAGTGTAAACAATGGGACCATAGTAGCGTTGCCGATGATGACTTACGTAAACCGATAAGAAAACATATAGCAACAACTTTGTCAGATTGGTAAAACAAGCATTACTGTTGCTTAGATGAGGAAAAAGTAAGGACGTGCCTTACGATATGGTTTGATTCTAGAAAAAGCAGAATCTTTAAAATGAAAGATCCAGACCTGAGCGCGGCATGCGTTTGGAATCATAGAACACAAATACGCATCAAATTTGGCTACTTCCCATTCTAGGACAATGTACATGCATCCACTTCTCTACGCACCAAACGCATATAGTAACAATCGGACAACGCCTCAAATGCAGATGCTACGTATGCACTTGTGTGATGAAGTCAAGCTGACAGGTCCTATTTTAACCCCAATAAATTGATGCAATAACTCCAGCAGTTGATTATGTGGAAGATAAATGCGATTTAGACGTATTGCTCACTCACATGTACCCACTTACTTTGCTTCACACTTCATTGCCAGCATATACAATATTCAGCATAATTCTTTCTTAAAACTGGTCGGCGGACTAAACTGTTTTCGAACTAAATGCAAGTCATTTTTGAGATATTTGGCCAAGGGGTGTTCCTTTATTGCTACTGGGGCTTCCACGTGACACCACCTATTTCAGGAATCTCACCACATCCCCTTACCTATTTTCATCTGGTGACTTTCTGCTGCTACTACTGCTCCGTTCGCATTAACAGCCTCATAATGAAGTTTATAAATGCTCAAGACAATTGGAACGAGTAGCATTTATTTAGCGTTAAAACCAAGAAAGTACAAGAGGTGTGCTTGCACAATGTAGGCTAGCTCCTCCAATTCCAAGGAAGTTGGAGACTTCTTCAAAAAACCACATTGCAAACACAATGACACGGTCGTGATTCCCGCCTATAACGGAGATGGCCATTTCCATGGACGACCACATTGCACCACCGCTACAGATAGCCAAGCACATGGCTTCACATATTGTGAGCTGTGCCTACTCTCGCCCACAGTTACCAACTTTAACGCATACGGGCTTGGTCAACCCCCGAAATCCATTTCCGTAACATTCTACTTACTTTATACTGACTTGTGTGCTAAGTTGTTACCGTCTGTGGTGGTCTCCCAGTATGAGAAGCCCTGCGGCCAGTTGCGGGGTTGGTTGTCTCCGTGATAGACGTAATCACGACTGTGCCTTTGTGTTTGCACCGTAGTTTGTGAATGAGCCTCCAATGAAGGGCGCGTAGGGCACCCAAAGGCCTGGTGGCTGGTTGGCTGATTGACTGAGTTTCTTGATTAATGAATGTGTTACGATGCCTAAATTTTTCATTTAGAAGTATTTATAGTATTTGATCATGACCCTTGAGCGGTTTTTTGTAGACTCAGAACATACCTCTGCTTCATGCTAGCCAATGAGAAGGGTCAAAACAGGAGCACAAATCTCTAAAACGCTACAGGATGAGTGTTTAAACAGAAATTGTGAAGAAATTAAAAAATTAAAAATAGTAAAGCAGATAAATAAGATCAGTTCCGAATTCTTGGGTTGGATACATCTCTAGCGCGCATACTTCCTTTACCCACAATTTTGTCATTCTTTCAAGGAATACCCTGAATTAAAGTTTTAACGCTCGACGTCTTGCAAGTCCTCTACAGCGTTAGTGCAAATTTGTAGTCCTTACCACACTATTTGTTAAGTCAAGTGATTTAATGTAACACATTACTAAGGAGGATCTGACCACAAAGACATTCAAGTAGCATTATTGACCTACGACCCGAGACGAGGTCATACTCTTTTATAAAAAAAGGGCAACACTATTAGACCCTAAAAGCGTTTAAAACTTAGAAACAA